TGCTTTAATATTATTCAAGCCACTTTACCTTTTTTTCTAGAAGACTTTTAAATTTGCCCCAAATCTCTTATCATTTGCTTTGATTTTGCCATACAAGATCAATTCCTATCAAAAGTCGGTGTAACTTGGAATGTTGTACTTTTACTGCTTATGTATTTCTCATTTTGTGAGCTACCACTCTGGGAGGTATTGTTTAGTTTTATTTATAATACATTGGAATGAATCTGGAAATTTCCCATTGTAATATCCATGTTGTTCATAAATGTATTCAATAGTTAACAAATATCTGTTGAGTGCTTACTTTGGCCACTTTGCTAGATTTGGGGAAAATAAAGAAGTATTATAAGATAAACCCAGCTTGTTCTCTGGTTGTATAGATAAACCCAACTTGTTCTCTGGTTCTCTGGGGAAGAGACACACCAAAAGTAGTTATAATGTGTAGTTAACAAAAATAATTGTAACAAAGTGTGTTTCAGAGTAGGGGAAATGCTGGGAAGGAGTGAGTAACTGAGCCTGTACAAGCAAAGAAGAGCTTCATGGTGATTGCATTGGAATTAAACTGTTAAAATGAGCAGGAGTGGAGCAAATGGAAAACAAGGAAACTGGATTGAAGAAAGAGAACAGTGTTTTGTATAAAGAGTGTGCATCATCCTCATATCGCCGTGAAGTAGTAAAAGCACGCTGCAGTTTGGGAGTTTAGCATAGCTGGTGTTTAGAAGAATGAGGGACTGAGTGGAATGGAGAAGAATGTTTGGGGGATGATGAAAAGGTGCCTGTGTGCCCTACTGAGACATTTGTACATTATCCCGTTTTCCAGAAGAAATAGGGTGAGATTTATGGTTTAAATTTTTTGTTTGGCTTGTCTCAGAGGGAACAGCAAGGAGGAGAACTCAGATTAAAAAAAAAGAGTTCAAATGAGGTTGTGGTCCTAGGATGACAAAGATGGACACAGTTCTGGAATTCAGGCTTTGTACCTTTTGCTGTGGATGGTGAGAGAAGGGAGGATTCAGAGAGTGAAGAAGGTTTAATGGAAAAAGGGATGACTAATCATGCAAGCAAGAAAAGGGGCAAGTCTGAAAATAAGACAGTGATTTCACTGAGGTGTCTGTGCTATATCCCAGTGGCAGCATTGACCTTAAAACAAATGGACAGCAAAATATTTATTCAGAAAAATGGGGTTAGTTGGGAAAAACAAAGAATTGTAATTTGGAACATGCATTCTAATGGTGAACCACATACAAGTCCAAAAGAAATCAAAGGATAGGGAAGTTTTTTATGGACTTGGGAGGGGCTAATGTAAACAAAGAGTTCATTTAAGGAAACAACGTTTGAAGTATAGTGACTTTTCTTTTTCTTTTTAAATTATTATTTTTATTTTTAATTATAGTTGACATTTAGTATAATTTTGTATTAGTTTCGGGTATACAGTATAGTGGTCAATTATATAATTTACAAAATGTTGTCCTAATAATTCTGGTACTATACATAGTTATTACAAAATTATTCACTATATTCCCTATGTTTTACTTTACATCCCTGTTTTGTAACTACCAATTTGTACTACATAATCTCTTCACATTTTCATTCAGCTCTTCAATCCTCTTCCCATTTAGCTACCCTCAGTTTATTCTTCATATCTGTGAGTCTGTTTCTGTTTTGTTTGCTTATTTTGTTCTTCGGATTCTTCATATAAGTGATATATGGTATTTGTCTTTGACCCATTTCACTTTGTGTATGTCTATCCAGGTTGTCACAAATGGTAAGTGTAGTGACTTTTCATTGGCTGAGCTGTTACTTGACAAGGAGGAATCTTTTATTTCTCCTGTTGGAGATGCTTCCTGTGAGGGTCAGTTGTGTGCTTTGAGTGACACCTGTGAGAGTTCTCCCTTTTAGCCTCCTGACTCCATTTAAAATGAAGTTTCTATTTATTAATTTTCTCAGTACTTAGTTAGAAAATATAGTTCTGCCACATAGGAGGGAGCTGAGGTTCAGAGGAATTCTTGAGGGGTGAACATATTATAAGTAATGGATCAGACAAAAGCAAATAAAAAACCCATAGGAAGTGTGTAAACTATGAGGAATAATGAAGGCCTAAAATAGTAAGCCAAGGATTACCAACACTTACAAGTCAGTGAAAACAACAACAACAACAACAACAACAACAACAACAGAGAAGGAAGAGGATAAAGGATGAAAGAAGAATTTGGAGAGAAGAAGCCTGATAGGTCCAAGGTTGACTGCCAGGTCCCAGGGGCATACAACTCCCAGCCAGGTTAGAATGTGCTTTCTTTAATGAGAACAAAGCAATCGAGGTTGAAAGATCATGATAAATATTTGTTATAAATATAGCTAGTCTCTAATATTCTGCTTCTACCCTCAACAGAATAAGATGCTATAGAGGTAGGAAGTAGAAGGGGGAAAAAACACACAAAAAAAAACAACAACAACCTTGGGCCAAAGGAGCATCATTTCCTCTGAGACAAAACAGGACATGTCTGTGAGTTGTTTATGCAATGGACAATACTGAAAGGCCCGGTAATTTCAATGTTTGCATATGCCTCTGTTATCCCAGACATGGGCATTCATTAGATAGGTGGACCAGAGTCACAGAACCACATGCAGAATTCTGGGAGCCAAAAGGGTAAATGAGAAATGATAGTAGAAGTAGGAAATTGAACCAAATGAAAATATGAAGAGGCAAATATAGATGATATTCTCATTAATTGAGTATTGTGAATTAAAGAAGTAAAAATAGTTTTTAAATAACGCCCACACTGTCCTGGGCAAAAGGAATCATGTGCAGTAATCTACTTGGTTTATGTTGAATTTATTAAATACAAATAAACATATACTTATGTGTATAGTCTTAAAAATCTGAAAAGTAAATTTCTAAGAGGTACACAATTGCCACCTAAGAAATATTGATTACGTTTATTCCTCTTATAGCTTTATTGAAATGAAATTGAGAAATAACCGCATAAATTTAAGGTGTACAATATGATTTTATATACATACCAGGGGCCTAGTCCACGAATTCGTGCACCTTGAAAGGAACTGTGACCCTGCCCAGCCCCTCTTGCCATGGCCCCCAAACCCCTGTCTTTTGGCAGCCCTGCTCCTGCCACCACCACTCCCAAGTGCTGACAGTGTGTTCCCTGCTAGCACCCACTGACTGCACAGAGTGATTAGGGCAGTCATCAGCAACAGCTGTGAGCAGGATCAGCATCGTCAGTGGGTGTAAGTGGTGGCTGCTGCCCTAATTGCCCCTCAGGAGCAGGGGGAGGTAGAGAGGCCCTCAGGGGCAATCAGGACCGGCAGCTGCCACTCACACCACTGATGGTCCCAAGTGATTGGGACCGGCATTGGGCACCAGCAGCAAGGTGCAAGTGCAGGGCAGGACTGCAGCATGTGGGAGTAAAGAATTTTCAGTAACCAGCAGAGGCTCAACCTGATGACAGTGACAGGCACCCTGCCTTAGTTTGGTGCCCCCACTCACCTGTACCACCATCCTGCCAATGCCCATGCCCACCATGTTTTGCACAGGCCCCCTGGTGGTCTGTGCACATCATAGTGACCAATTGTTCATTTGTTCCTATTGTTCCATCATTTGGTCTATTTGTATATTAGCCTTTTATTTTATACTAGAGGCCTGGTGCACAAAATTCATGTATGCGGGTGTGTGTGCCTCAGCCCAACCTGCATCCTCTCCAATCTGGTTCCCCTCTCACAATCCAGGACTGCTGGCTCCCAACTGCTTGCTGCTTACCTTCCTGATTGCCCCTAACCTCTACTGCCTGCCAGCCTGATCACCCCTCAACCACACCCCTGCCAGCCTAATTGATGTCTAACTGCTCCCCTGCAAGTCTGATTGCCCTTAACTGCCCTCCCTGTTAGCCTGGTCACCCCCAACTGCCCTCCCCTGCCAGCCTGGTCCCCCATCCCAACTGCCCTCCTCTGCAAGCCTGCTCTCCCCTCCCCCCCCCAAACTGCTCTCCCCTCTAGGCCTGGTCACCCCTAATGCCTCCCCTGCAGGCCTGGTCCCCCCCACCTGTCCTTTCCTGCAGGCCTGGTCACCCCCAACTTCCCTCCTCTGCCTGCCTCATCCCTCCCAACTGCCTTCCCCTGATGGCCATCTTGTGGTAGTCATCTCTGACCTTATGGGGGCAGCTATCTTGTGTGTTGGAGTGAAAATTTGCATATTACTCTTTTTTTAGATAGGATTTATTATATAGGACAAGGAGGGGGGTAAAGGTAGGTTATAATTCTGAGTACACAAAACACAGAGTTTATTATTAATTATTGTATTTTCTATACAAAAACAATTAATCTACTTTTGCACCACCCTGTATATATTGCAAAATTATTACCACAAAAAGTTACTTAACACATCCTTCACTTTATATGATTACCTGTGTGTGTGTGCATGTTTGTAAAGTGAACACTTATAAATACTCTCTTAGCAACTTTCAAACATACAGTACAGCGTCCACTATTTTTATTATGCTGTACATTTGATCTCCAGAACTTATACCTAAAAGGTTGCACCCTTTGACCAACAACTCTCCATTTCCCTAACCCATGATAACTACATTCTGTTTCTATGATTTTAATCTTTTCAGATTCCAAATATATGTGAAATAATGGAGTATTTGTCTTTCCCTGTCTGACTTATTTCACACCCTTTAGGTTTATTCATGTTGTCACATATGGCAAGATTTCCTTTTTTTCTATGACTGAATAATTTTTGCAGAATGTGTGTGCATGTGTGTGTGACATTTTCTTTATTCATTCATTCATTGACAGACGCTTAGGTTGTTTCCATGCCTGCCTATTGTAAATAATACTGCAAAGAACATGAGGGTTCAAATATCTCTTTGAAACTAAAAAAGAAAGGCTTTATATCATAAATATGTATAGCTGCTAACTCAATAAATTTTCTTTTTCTGACATGCATCACCAATGTTGTATGCTTTTTATTCTTATTTCATTTTTATTTACAGAAAACTGGGCACAAACCAGAAAGTGTGGATTTGTGTGGAGCACATATTGAGTGGGCCAAAGAAAAATCAAGCAGAAAGAATGTCTTTCAGGTAAGAGAGTTACATATATTCAGTTTATCCCTATTCCTTTTGAATCTGAGGTATCTTGGGTAATCAAAATAAGACTACCTTGTTGCGACATTTTCGTGTGTATTTTCATTTGCAACCTGTTGTGCAAAAGTCATTGTGAAAAAACTGACTCCTTTTCTTCTGTTGAATTTTAGTTTGTTTGTTGTCATTCAAAATTCAAAAGTCATTGATTTTTGCAATGTATTTGCTAGATGTTTGGGGTTCAAACCTAGAATGCTTGACTTGGATTTATTGTAGAGCTTTCAGACATACATAAGTAAGATTCACTAATTATGATAAACTATTTGCATTCATTGTTATTTCTCTCATCTTGTCATAAAATATACTTAACGTTGTGCGTTAGGGGGATATAGAAAGCTGAACAGCTATAAAAATTGGACCTTTCTATATTGCATAATTAGAGTTTTTTGACAAATAAAAGTCATTAATAATTCAATCATTTTTCATTGAATGAAAAGAACAGATGAAATCATTGAAAAATAATAAATGGAAAAACTTAATATTTAACAGATGATGTTACTAAAATCCCATTGGCAATTAATGACTTTAGATAATGGAGGTTGATCTTTTTCTATTTTATATGAAATTTAACTCACTTTTCTATTCCAAAGTAACCAATAGCTATATGAATATATTTTAAAATTTATATAATTTAGTATCCAAGAAACTGGATTATTATGATTAATATATTAAATGTCTTCAAAGACTATTTTGATTCTTGAAGAAAAGTTAGTTTTGTTTTTAAATGCATCAATGAAATAAATATATTGGGTCTTACAGAAATATAGTTTGGTGACATTTTTATCTGAATTCTCACTAGAAAAAAATAGCTGGTTTCTAGTTTGTTCTGTACTTTTCAGATGCTAATTCAGGTTTATCCAAAAAATCTTGACCCAGGTTAATATTTTAAATCACTTTTAACTATTAAAATTAGTTAACACATCCATCACTTCATATGGTTACCAGAGAATAAATTATGTTTAGAATAAATTATTTTTCTGGTTCTAGTATTATTCTATTTAGGTATTAATTTAATATGATAATGTTTATATATATATATAAAACAAAAAAGGAAGAATGAAAAACTAAATATGCTTACCTAGCAATCAAGGCTAAAGCTGAAAGTGATTAGAATGTGAATTTTCAGAATCAAGAAGGAAAAATAAATTTTCTTTTGAAATAAGGAATTGTAGGTCAATTTATTATTCTTTGTGCTATTTGGCCATAAATAACAAAAGTTAGAGGTTATTATCCTAGCTTCTATGACAACACATATGGTCATTATGACTAGATCTGAACTAGATTGTGTGAGCTGAGTGGTTTAGTTTTATTTGTATTGTGAGTTTAGCATCCTAGTTACCAATTATAATATAAAGACAAAAAATTGACATTGATATAATTCTTGACCAACAGAAACTCTTAGAGTTGGGCTAAATCAGCCTTATTTTAGTTCCTTCAGTTAACCTTATGAAGAATTAAATTAGATTAAAAATAAAGAAGATAGTAATATATATATATATATATGGCTGCAAATATTGATGAAAATCTTTATGTATAAATTTACATAGATAAGAACATAAAACATAGAAAGTATGCATAGCCCACGGGCACAAACCACAGTGTACCAGATCCAGCCGGCATCACAGGTCCTGGAGGTAGGGCTAGGAGGTTTAAGAGAAATAAAGACAAGAGAAAGGGGGGCTTCAGGAGGACTGCTAGTCCATGATGAGACTGCAGTAACTTTATTAGTTGCAGGCGTACATTTATGGGGCTTTTCTGGGCATTTCTCCAAGTGCCCCTTTCCCAGGACAAGGCCTCCCGACAGCTCCTCAAGACATTCTTGGAAAAGTTACATAGAGCAGGCATCTGGCTAGATATCATTGAGAACAGCCTAGCTGAGAACATCCAGATAAGTCGTGCATCACGCGCACTCCCTAACAATGGGGCTGTGGTCTGCCCTGTCCCTAGTTGACCCTGAAGGCTTAGGGGAGAGCAGGTAGGTGTCCCTACCCTGTGCTCAATCCCCTGTAGGAGAGCAGGTAGGCGTCCCTACCCTATGCTCCATCCTTGCCCTCGGGCCCCACGGAACACGGCTTCCCACAACAGTGTGGTGAGGGCCTAGGAGACTAGGGTTTGGGGTGGAGAGAGTCCATGGGAAAAAAAGGGTGGACATCTGTAATACTTTCAACAATAAAGATACATTTAAAAAAACATAGACATTTAAGCTACCTATATTTATGATATGTATCATCTTAACCTTTCCTGAACATGAACAACCATCTCTTATTATATTTTTACTTGTTTTTCATATTTCTAAACATAGGTACTTCTAAAGATATTAAAAACTATTCCCAATTTGAGTCACTTTTTGGAGGTGACAATCTTGCCACCTAGTTTTATTTGTAAGGTACCTGAGCAGTTCCTGGGACCTCAGTGTTCTTACATCCATTTTATCTTTTATTTTTTGTCTGGTAGCATTTAGTCTAGAGAAACAAGAGGCGATTATAAGGATGTTGTGAACATAACTAACAAAAGATCGAGATTTAATTGACTGCCATTTCTTTATGGGGTGACTCGTGATTTTTCTGGCTACACTGAAATCTTTTTGTCATCTAAACACATGAGATTAAGTCAAATTTACTAATAGGTAGTCATAGATGAAGACTATGGATGTATGCCTTCTGAGAAAAACAATATAAATAGCTTTTATAGTTCAGTTAACAGAAAAGCATTGGGAAGGATTTGCCAGAGAGCTAAATCTAGATGACTTGCATCAATATTTGATTAGAAACATTAGCTGGTCTAACTCTCAAATGATCAGAATAAACACGATTATACTTCAAACACATGGTATTAAGACATTGTTGAATGTTTGAATGTGTGTGTGCAAGGGTTTCATTACCTACAGAGTAATGAAGTGTTTCTTCCTGTCTGAGAGAGACCATCGTAGCTTTGGCTGATGTGCTACTCAGAAATAGCTTTAGACTTCCAAGTTTGAATTAGGCTTGGTGCTCAATCTCAGCCCATGAATTATAGATTATAGATAGCAAATGGCTATTGAGAGTTTTGGTTCAAGAAAAATCAAAGATGAGAAAAATTAGAAATAATTTAAAATTTGAAATCTGTCCTTAAAAAGCTGATGGATTGGTAGTTATATGATACATAATTACAGTGTCTGCAGAGAAGTCCAACTTAAAATGAATAGCAAAACAAACCGAATTATGTGCCTGAGATATGTTTGAAAGACTCAGAATGCACACATTGGTGACCAAAAAAAAGGGAAGGATTTCATTAATTTGTTCTTTTGTACATGACATTTGGATATTTGAGTTGTTCATTTTATTTTTGTATTAGAAGCCAAAATTCCTTCATATTCAAATCTTTATTGAACTCTTGATATAGATTCAATCTTATTGATTGGCACATGGCAACGTAAGAAAGACAACATTGAATATTAAGGCTTATTATTCAACAACTCTCAGCAACTCAGAATTATGCTCTCTATCTGAGATAAAGAATATCTGCCCGTATATTATAACAACAATCTTTGTCCCAATTGTTACTTCTTAATAATAAATAATACATTTTTAAAGATTGTTAGCAATGCCTATAATAAAGTATATGAAAGCAAGCCATACTATGTGTTTAAAAAAATGTTTGTGTATTGCCCTGGCTGGCTGGTTCAGTTGGTTGGGGTGTCATTTTGTACACCAAAAAGGTTATGGGTTCAATTCTGGTTAGGGCACAGAGCTAGTTTGTGGGTTCAATCTCTGCTCAGTACATATTGGGCGGCAACCCAGTGGTGTTTCTCTCCTACTCTCTTCTTCTTCCTCTCCCTCTCCCTTCCTCTCTCCCTGAAATCAATTTAAAAGTATAAATGTGTGCCGGGACCGGTTTGGCTCAATGGATAGAGCGTCGGCTTGGGGACTGAAGGGCCCCGGGTTCGATTCTGGTCAAGGGCATGTACCTTGGTTGCGGGCATATCCCCAGTAGGGGGTGTGCAAGAGGCAGCTGATCGATGACTCTCTCTCATTGATGTTTCTAACTCTCTATCTCTCTCTTTTCCTCTCTGTACAAAAATCAATAAAATATATATTTTTTAAAAAAAGTATAAATGTGGTGTGTGTGTGTGTGTGTGTGTGTGTGTGTGTGTGTGTGTAGAGTGTATGTGCATCTAGGTATGTACCCACATCTAATAGTTTGACTTTAGGAAAAGTGCCCATTTCTACATATACACCCAAACACAGAAAGACACTTTGTACCCATAAAAGGCTATACCAATTTTTAAGTTACACTCATAAATGTTCATTGCTGCTAATTTTTGTTTAATTCTGCTTTTAGCATAATTGTCAAGGACCATCACAAGTTTGATGCAGCTTGAGAAAACATTTAGCAACTGAGTGATTTGTAATGAACTGTGGTACAAGTTTTCTTAGTTAACTCAAGAGCAACCCTAGGTCTTCTTCAGGGAAACAGTGAATTAAAAGATTGGTGTTCAAATCACATGTTTTAAACATTACTGCTAAGTGCTAGTTTGCTCTTTGATGTTTAGCCTGAAATTTAAAGCACTAAGGATTAAAAGGATTACAACATAATCTTAAATAATCCTGAATGCCATTTACAGAGAGATAGTATAATAACTAAATAAAACCATGTTAAAGGATGGCATTCCTGTCAGGCAGTGTCATAACACAAACTGCTTCTGTCTCCATCTCCCCTTTTCTCATGGATACATCAGGCATTTACAAAGCTTTTCCACTGGAAGTTCAGCTGAGAAATGGCTGCAAAATACTTTAAAATGATCACTAATTTTTTAAACTTTTAATATCTCCTTGTTTCAAAGTTACAGAAAAATTTCCCCTTAGGTTTTTTGTCCCCCCCCCTCCCTCTGAACATAAGGCTCTCTGTGTAAAACATTTTTGAAAGTCAGGGAAAGGGTTCATGCCATGGCCACCAAATAG